TAGGTAAAGATGGTTGTTACCAAACTTAATAACCTGAGTTTGATTCCCTGGACCCCATGAAATGGAAGGAAAGAACGTCCAAAGGTTGTCCTCTGACCTTTACATTTATGTTGTGGCATGTACATGCCCACATACTTAAACATACACACAATAAGTAAAACGTAATTCCTAGCTGACCTGGAATTTGCTATCTAGACCAGGCTGGCCAGTAAAATCTAATTTTCAATAATTAAAAAAAGATGAGCCGGGCAGTGGTGGCGCACGCCTTTAATCCCAGCACTCGAGAGGCAGAGGCAGGCGGATCTCTGTGAGTTCGAGGCCAGCCTGGGCTACCAAGTGAGTCCCAGGAAAGGCGCAAAGCTACACAGAGAAACCCTGTCTCGAAAAACCAAAAAAAAAAAAAAAAAGATGAAAATACGGTACAGGGCTGGGGATGTAGCTCAGCAACAGAGCACTTGTCTAGTATCATGAGGTCCTGGGTTCAGTCACAAACACTGCAAAGAAGATGTAGGAGGGAGGGAGGGAGGGAGACAGTGAGCTCAGTGTGGGAGAACACTTGCTGCCAAGCCTGACACCTTGAGTTCAGTGAGTTCAGTCCCTAGAACCCAGATGTTGGAAGGAGAGAGCCGACTCCCATAAGCTGTCATCTGATCTCCACACACCTGCCGTTAGTGCATGCTCACTCCCACACGAATACATGTAAGAAGTCAGTCTGTAACTTCATGCTAGGAAGGCTGCTGGGCAGAGGATTGCCTCAAGTTCCAGGCCAGCCTGCACTGTGTGCTAAGTAGCAGGGCAGTAGGCTCTGGTTAACAGCAAGCTGTCATTGTCATGCTCTACTGGCCTATGATAGATGGACATGCTCTATCCCCAAAACAATGAACACCAGGAGTTAGGGCTGAGAGAGCTCAGCTGTACCACCTCTCCTAATAGGTACCTGAAGAAATGCCACATACCTCTTCTGTTTTACTCTGTAGTAGTAAGATTTTGGTTGAAATAAGTTTTCTAGTAACACATTTGGTTAATCACTAGTAACACTTAAAGTGTTTTGTTTGCTCATTTGTTTGGTTTTTCGAGACAGGGTTCTCAATGTAATAGCCTTGGTTGTCCTGGAACTTGCTCTGTAGACCAGACTAGCCTTGAACTGAGAGATCCACCTGCCTCTGGCCTCTGCCTCTTGAGTGCTGGCATTAAAAGCTTGTGCGGCCACTGCCCGGCACTTACTTGTTTTTGTAGAATGTTTAAGACCGTGAATTCTGGCCTTCTCTGTGAATCTTGGGGAGTGTGAGTCCTGGAACTCTGCTTTTTTTTTTTCTTCTTAATCTCCCAATTAATTTCCTTGACTAATCTGATGTATAAATGACTAACCAAAAGAGTAGTTTCCCAGTTGTGTTTTATTGGGATCTGTGGCTTGTATCCTAGTAAACTTCCTTATATGCTGTAAAGAAAACCCTAGAGAAAGATTTTTTTTTTTTAAGATTTATGAGGGTATGTATTTTGTCTGCATGCATGTATTTGTCCATGTGTGCCTGGTGCCTGCGGAGGTCAGAAGAGGGCATCAGATCTCCTAGAACTGGAGTTACGGATGGTTGTGAGCCACCACGTAGGTGCTTGGAACTAAACCAGGGTCCTCTGGAAGAACAATTGCTCTTCACTGATGAGCCATCTCTCCAGCCCCATTAGATGTTGGTTTTTAAGAACTCAGTCTAGGAAAAAATACAAAAACATTTCATTTTTTTGGTTTTTCAAGACAGGATTTCTCTGTGTAACAGTTCTGGCTGTCCTCGAACTCACTTTGTAGACCAGGCTGTAGACCAAATTCACAGAGATCCACCTGCCTTGGCTTCCCGAGTGCTGGGATTAAAGGCGTGCGCCACCACCGCCTGGTGAAAAACATCTTAAAATGTATGCTGAGAAAATTGGTTTCTTCCCTCCACCCTCCATCATACATCCTTAACAGAGCCCTCAGTGCTCTTACTCAGTCTTTGTCTGAGAGAATTTGTAGCCCTGCTCCTTTTTCTCACTCTGGATGCTGAGACTCTAGGGGATTTGGCCAACAAATTCCTCAGAAGTCTGACTAATATTTAGGTTTGGCATCATTGCTAGGTCTCTGTTGTTGCTGCTTATCTTTGTATAAGGGTACCTTGGTAGTAGTCTTTTTTGTGAGCCATAGATAACTCACTTGGGTCCTGTAAATCCTCTCCAGGGATTTGTTGTCTGAGAATTAATAATAATAATAATAATAATAATAATAATAATAATAATAATAAACTACTTTGCAGCTAAGTGTGGTAGCACATTTCTATAATCCCAGCACTCAGGAGGCTAAAACAGGAATTTGGAGAGTTTGGAGTCAGCCTGAGATACATAGCGATTCTCTGTATCCAAAAACAGCCCCCAAACTACTCTCCTAAATGCCCTTACTTAGTCTTCATTTTAATGCTTCCTTCACTGTCTAGCAGCCACCTTTCCCTTTCTTCAGAAGGCTTCTGGCTTTGGACGTCTTAGAAATAAAAAGCTTTTTTTCAAGCCCTGAATTTCCATTACCATTAGCCTGTTGGTAGCATTGGGTTTGGCTTTAGGTAAAGTGCTCAATGTCTACATGTATTAACATCTGACTTTAAACATTCATGTGATCAGGTATTGATAATGAAAGATACCACCTGTCCCAGGCATGGATCACATGATAAACACCTTCCATTAATTAGGAAGCTATCCTCCATCTCCATACAATGCTTTGTATTGTTAGTGATTCCTTGTTTCATTCTGAAGGTCCCTTCCAGTTTTCATGACTTTTATAAAACAGTGATGGTCAAAACTGATCAGCTTACCTATTTTCTCAGATCTCTTTGATGACCCCTTAGTACTTCTAAAGAAATAATTACCCAGAATCTTATTACTGAGGTTTTATGGTATGGTATCCAAAATAATATACAGTAGACCAACCTACAGTTTACAGTAGGTGGAGAATGAATTTATTAAACTTAGGTATGTTTAATTTGTAAATTACAACTTAATAAAACTTGCCTTTGGCTCTAAAGACGTTTATCTCTGGCCAACTTTATACACAACTTTATTGCCATTCTTTGTTGTTGTTAGTGGTGGTTTGTTTTGCTTTGGTTTCTAACAGTGCTAGGGATTGAACCCAGATCCTGTGCCATGTTACACAAGTGCTTTAGGTCCTTGTGTTTTCTTAGATGTTATCTTACTATCTCAATCTTACCATCTCAGATGACCTTAAGTCACCATGAAGTCCAGGGTGGCCTTGAATTCTTTATCCTCCTCCATTTCTCATGTACAGATAATAAACATGTATTACCATACCTGGCCTTGTTTTTGCTTAAAAGATAAATTAATTTGTTTCTTTTCTTCTGTCAAAGGAGCCTTGCTTTTTTCTTTCTTCTCTTTTTTCTTTTTCTTTTTGAGACAGGATCTCTTTATTAAGTGATTCCACCTGTCCTGAACTCATTCTGTAGACCAAATTGTGCCACCCCCACCCGGCTAGATTGGTAGTTTTCAAACTTTTTTTTTTTTGAAAGGAAGAAAGAAAAATTTCTACCTTGAACTCCAGTGTGTAAAACGTAGTCAAGAGGACCCAGTTCTAAAGCCCTGTTCATTTAGCTGGAATTAATTTGTCTGTTTACATCTTTTCTGTTTTATCCCTGAGAGCTTTGGCCCAGGTCTTTGACACTTGGCTAAGTGAGCACTCCATACTACTGAGCTGTATCCCTAGCTTCTTTTTAAAAAAAGAAAACATTCTTACTCATTTCCTGAGTTTGTGGTCGTTCAGATTGACTGATGTATTTACTCATAATATTTTGGTCAAACCTAGCAGTAGAGCTTGCATGGCTCACACAAATAAAATCCAGCATTCAGGAATCCAAGGCAGAAGGATCCAGACTAGCTTAGGCTACATAGCAATACCTCATCTTAAGTCAGAAGGAGGGTTTGCTTTTTGTTTTCACTTTTTATATGTGTAGATACTTTACCTGCCTCTGTGTGTGTGTGTGTGTGTGTGTGTATTTCGTGAATGCCTGGTGCCCAGGAAGGCCAGGAGAGGGTATCAGACCTCCTGAAAGTGGGGTTACAGATGTTTTTGAGCCACCATGCAGGTGCAGGAAGTCAAATCCAGGACCTCTGGAAGAACAGCCAGCGCTCTTAACTCCTGAGCCATCTTTCCAGCCCCCTCTAGTGCTTGTTCAGGGTGCTCAAGGTCCTGAGTTTCATTCCCAGTGTTTGGGGAAAGGGACGGGCGGGTGGTAGTACCAGGCACACTTTTCAACAGTGACGACAGTGGCTAGAAAGATGCCTCTGCAGTTGAGAGCACTGGCTGCTCTTCCAGAGGACCTGGGTTTGATACCCATTACCTGCATAGTGGTCACAACCATCTCTAACTCTGGTTCCAGGATATCTTCTGGCCCCTGAAGGCACAAGATGAAAACCTGCACACATGTACATGCAGGCAAAACACCTACATACGTAAATTAATTTTTTTAAGTGGATGCAAAGCAGTGAAGATTTCTTGGTTTTATGTTTTTGAGACAGTCTCACATTGTAGTCCAGGCTGACCTGGAACTCAACATGTAGCAGCTCATGCTGGCCTTGAACTCACGGCAATTCTCCTGCCTCAATGTCTGGAGGGCTGACATTGTAGGTGTGACTGACTATTCCAGGCTTCAGAATGGTAAAGTCTCAAGTTCTGCTTCAGAATACCAAAAGACATTATAGAAATAGGTACACTTTGTATTTCTGTACCCCTGCTGGACAGTTTAAAATTCCTGGAGGTTCCTTTACTTTTGAGTTATTTGAGGTGTTGAAATACTCCTAAACATCCACTTATTAAAAGAACCCTTGGGACTTGCGTAGTCTTGATCGTGTATGTGAAAGAAATGTAGAAATAGATTACTAAACAGCTTGTAGGTGATGATTGGTTGGGTTTTAAAAGTCATGATTCTGGAAATATTATAATGAGTGTGACTTGATTTTCTTTCATTTGATAGGAAAGAGCTCCTCTTTTACTGAAGAAAAAGGTGAATCAGATGATGAGAAACCAAGGAAAGGAGAAAGACGTTCATCCAGGGTTAGACAGGTAATCCAGTCCTATGTGACAGTTGCTGCTTCCACAGTGCTGTGGATCCTCCGCCATCACAGATGGTTCTAGAGTGGATGTCTCTAGATGGCTGTGTAGCCATCTAGTGTTACTCCTGGGGTTTCGTGATTTAGATGTGCTCTGGCCTTCTGACTTTGGAGCAATTATGTACATTTTTAACTTTTTTCTTTTTTGAGACAGAGTCGGACTGGAACCTGCTATCTGATTTTCCCAAGTGCTGGAGTTAGAGACATGTGCTACCATGCCTGACGTGAACATATTAATATGTGGTTTTTAAAAACTTAAATGTGGGCCTAGAGAGATGGCTCAGAGGTTAAGAGCACTGTCTGCAGAGGTCCTGAGTTCAATTCCCAGCAACCACATGGTGGCTCACAACCATCTATAATGAGATTTAGTGCCCTCTTCTGGCATGCAGGCAGAACACTGTATACATAATAAATAAATCATTCTTTAAAAACAAAAAACAAAAACTTAAATGTGAGGGCTCAGTGGGTAAGGTGCCTGCTAACCTGATTTCAGTCTCTGAGATCCTTATAATAGAAAGAGAATACCAATTCCCATCCAGTTGTCCTCTTTAGCTCCACACACATAAATAATGTAATTTTTAAAAATAAAAAAATTAACTATTTAAAGTTAATAGGCTAGACTGTATTCTTAAATGTATACTAAGGCAAGATATGACATAATTATTCAATTAAAACTATATTATGGCATTAACTATAGCTAATAAATACATAGAGCAGTTGAAAAATATATAAAGTAATGTTAAGGAAGAACAGTGGGGAAGTAAAGGCATAGTGTAATTGATTGTGCAAAGATATGACAGTGGAGGGCAGTAATCACTTGTATTTTTAACACTTGGGAGACAGAGACAGTTGCTCTGAGTTTGAGGCCACCCTGGGTAACATAATGAGACCCTATCTCAAAAGCAAGAGAGGGGGCTGGAGAGATGGCTCAGAGGTTAAGAGTACTGGCTGCTCTTCCGGAGGACCTGGGTTCAATTCCCAGCACCCACATGGCGGCTCACAACTGTAATTTCTGTTCCACCCTTACACAGACATATATGTAGGCAAACATCAATATACATAAAATACAAATAAATTGTTTAAAAAAAAAAAAAAGAAGGCCAGACTCTGGCCTCCATACCTTTAAAAAAAAAAAGCGAGAGAGAAAGAGAAGGAAGGTGAGAAGTAGGATGTGGTATTGCATCTCAAAGATAAAAGAAAGATGTCAAAGTGATAAATACTACTAAATAACGGTAGGTTAGTTCTCCCTTCTGCTTTCTAAGATATTCTGTCCAGATGTTAGAAGTTAAAAAGTCAGGTCTGGAGAGAACTGGTTCAGTAGTTAAGAGCACTGGTTGTTCTTGTGGAGGATCTGAGTTCAGATCCTAGCACACAAATGGTAGCTCACCACCATCCTTAACTCCAGTTCTAGAGGATCAGACACCCTCTTCTGACCTCCTCTGGTACCAGGCACATACATGGTGTAACTATATACATGTGAGCAAAATGTTCATACATATAAAATAAACCTTTAAAAATTTAAAGCTAGGAATGGGTGGTGGTGGCGCATGCCTTTGATCCCAGCACTTGGGAGGCAGAATTAGGTAGATGTCTGTGAGTTTGAGGCCAGCCTGGTCTACAGAGTGAGTTCCAGGACAGCCAAAGCTACACTTAGAAACCTGTCTCAAAAAAAACAAACATCAAAGTTGAAGCTGGCGCTGGAAAGATGGCTCAGCAGTTAAGAGCCCTTGTCTGCTCTCCAGAGGATTGGAGTTGTAGCACCAGCACCCACATAGTAACTCACAACCATCTGAAGCTCTAGTTCCCAGGAGTCCAGTACCCTCTGCTGGCCTCTGGAGCACTTGTGCTCACGCAGCTAATACACACTTACGTAAATAAATCTTTTTAAAATACATAAAAAGAGATCGAAAGCTAAAAAACCGAACCAGAAGCAGCTTCATTGTTGAGCTCCTTTTGTTTCCTCTACTTTGATTTCCCTAAGGAGTCCCTGTCAGCCGTTGTTGCTGAAAGTGTGTCACTCAGTTTCTCCTTCGTGAGAGTACCTTAAGAGATGTTCTCTTTCCTCTGTTCATTGTGAACAAGTACATCGGAAGTCATTGTGTATCTTTTCTTTCAGGCAAGAGCAGCTAAACTCTCTGAGTACAGCCAGGCTGCTGAGGAGGAGGAAGATCAAGAAGCACCATCTAGAAACCTGAGAGTCAGAGTAGATCGAAATTTAAAAATAGAGGAGGAAGAAGAGGAAGAGGAAGAAGAGGAGGAGGAGGAAGAGGAGGAAGAGGTAGATGAGGGACAGAAATCTAGAGAGGCAGAGGCACCAATCCTGAAACAGTTGGAGGATGAAGAGGGAGAAGAAGAGATGCCCACAACAAAACCAGAAAAGGTGGTAGATGAGAAATCCCACATCATAAGATCCCAGGAAGGGGGTGGGTTAGAGAAAGGAGGGCGGGTTACGAGATCCCAGGAAGAAGCTAGAAGTCGTCACCCAGCCAGACAGCAGCAAGAGAAAGACACACAAGGAGTTTCTGTCCTTCAGGAAGCTAGTGAAGTCAAGTCTTCACAAGGCTTGGAGGAAAGATCACAGTCTCCTTCCCCACCTGCACTCACTGAAGACCTAGAGAAGGCCCCTGTTGTGCTACAGCCAGAGCAAACAGTCAGTGAAGAGGAAACTCCCCCACCTTTACTTACTAAGGAAGCATCATCTCCTCCAACTCATATGCAACTCCAGGACGAGGAAGAGATAGAGCCAGTGGAAGGCCCAGCACCCCCTGTCCTCATTCAGTTATCGCCTCGTAATACAGATCCTGAAAGTAGGGAGCTGATAATGTCTCCCCATCCTGTCCAGTTGGTGAGAGGCCTGTCTCCTTTGCCCAGTACTCCAGACACCAAAGCAGAATCTCCAGCAGAGAAAGTGTCAGATGAGAGTGTCCTGCCTCTGGCTCAGAAAAGTGCACTGTTTGAATACTCAGCCCAGAAGGGTCTTGAAACTGAGCCTGAAAAATCTGCTCACTCCCTCCCTCCAACAGTAGAGGAATTAGCATCCACCAAAGGGACCCCTGAGGAACCTGTGAAAAAGCAGTCTTTAGAACAGGAGGGCAGAAGAGCTTCCCACACTCTTTTCCCAGACCATAGTTTGAAACAGTCGGCCGACTCTTCCTCTAGCCGGTCCTCCTCGCCTTCATCCTCTAGCTCTAGATCCAGATCTCGCTCTCCTGATAGTTCAGCCTCCCACCCACAGTCATCTCCAAGATCTAAACAGAGAGATGTATCCCAAGCACGAGTACACGCTAACCCTCATGGTAGACCCAAGATGGACTCCAGGTCAACATCAGAGTCCAGGTCACGGTCCCGATCCCGTTCCCGTTCAGCGTCAAACAGCAGCAGAAAAGTGAGTATGGAGAATCCTGTCTCTAATGATTTTGAAACCCAGAATAACCTGTAATGATTTCTAACAGGGATGGAAAAGTCCTCCTTTAGTCTCCACTGTTTACCCTCCCTTCATTACAAAGTCAGTGCATGAGTCACTGGGATCCCTGTCCATTCTAAACCCCTTTGAGTACAAAGCATGTTGAATACATTTCTCTTTCATTAACACAAGCTACTTGAGCGCATAGGCCCCTGGATGGAACTTAGTAAATTTGTTGGATAAGTAGTTGGAGATCATTCACTTAAATGGGAGTAGACACGAGACAAAATGATCTAGAGGAAGGTCAAGTATTTGTAATCCATGACTGTGTTAGCACTTGGGAAGTAGAGGTCATCCTAAGCTACATACCAAATTCAATGCCTGTTTTGGCGACTTAAGTCTCTTTATCAAAAAAATAAAAAAGACCAGAGTATTGAGTGAGCAAAAGCTAGAAAAGTCATTGGTCTCTTGAATATCCGTCATTCATTCATATCCCTCCCAAGTATTTGCCATAGAAAGTGACTTTCCTTTATGTTTTATCTTGTGTTTATAGTCTCTGAGCCCTGGAGTCTCCAGAGACAGCAACACCAGCTACACCGAAACCAAAGATCCCTCCTGTGGTCAGGAAGCTGCAGCTCCACCAGTGCCACAGCTGCAGGTCCTTGAACCAAAGGAGAAGACTCCCACGTCCTCAGCCTCTGTCCGGGGAAGGCATCTGAGCCAGACTGAGCCAGAGCAAAAGCATGTGATCCAGAGGTTACAGCCTGAGCAGGTAGGCTTGTTACAGCCCTTAGGCTTCAGTTCCCATTGTTAGTGTTTGACTCAGCATCCTGACTTATAGCCCAGGCCAGCCTCACACTCAAGGTCCTGCCTTGGCCTCCCAAGTGCTAAGATTACAGGTGTGTGCCCTTGAACCCAGCACATTGTCTTCACTACAAAATTCAAAATCCTCTCTGGACAAGAGTCAAGAAATGCAGGGCGTTGAGGACACTTCTTAATTGTGTTTTTTGTTTCAAACCATTTACTGATTGATTGATTGATTGATTGGGGGTTGGCATGTGCCATGGCACACATGTGGAAGTCAGAGGACAAGTTTTGGTGCTTCCACCGTGTGGTTTTCAGGGACAGAGCTCAGGTCATCAGCAGCTGAGTCATCTTGCTGACCTTTTTTAAGATTTGTTTTATGTGTGTGTATTTTACCTGCATGAATGTATTCAGACTGTGAATGCAGATAAATGAGGGCATCCAATCCCCTGGAACTGCAGTTAAGGATGATTGTGAGCTGCATGTAGGTGCTGGAAACTGAACGTTCATCCTCTGCAAGAGCAGCAAGTGTTTTTAACCACTTTTTTGTATTTCTTTAGCTCCCCCACCTTGCTTTGCCCTTTCTTCTTAACATACTTGTTTTATGTGTACATAGGTGTACACACCATAGTGTGCATATACACCTTCTTAACTCCATGGTTAGTCAAAGCTCTGTGTAAAGTTGAACAGCAGTTTTAATCTCTAGATAGCTTCCTCAGGACCCTTCCATTTATCTACCCCAAAAGAGAGGCTATTGTTGGTTTTTGTTTGTTTGTTTTTATACTCTCTTACTCTTTTGGGAGGGTGGGTGGGGGGCGCCACCCAGCTCCCAAATAAATCACACACAGAGGCTTATTCTTACTTATAAATGCCTGGCCTTAGCTTGGCTTGTTTTTAACCAGCTTTTCTTAAATTATCTTATCTACCTTTTGCTTCTGGGCTTTCTCCTTTTCTTTATTTCTGTATACCTTTCTTTACTTCTTACTCTGTGGCTGGCTGGCTGGGTGGGTAGCCCCTGGCATCCTCCCTTTCCTTGTTCTCTTGCCCTTTCTTCTCCCAGATTTCTCCTCCCATTTATTCTCTCTGCCTGTCAGCCCCACCTATCCTTTCTCCTGCCTAGCTATTGACGTTCAGTTCTTTATTAGACTATCAGGTGTTTTAGACAGGCAAAGTAACACAGCTTCACAGAGTTAAACAAATGCAACATAAAAGAATGCAACACAAGCCGGGCGGTGGTGGCGCAGGCCTTTAATCCCAGCACTTGGGAGGCAGAGCCAGGCGGATCTTTGTGAGTTCAAGGCCAACCTGGTCTACAGAGCGAGATCCAGGAAAGGCGCAAAGCTACACAGGGAAACCCTGTCTCGAAAAACCAAAAAAAAAAAAAAAAAAAAAACACATCTTTGCATCATTAAACAAATGTTCCACAGAATAAACAAATGTAATACATCTTAAAATAATATTCTACAACAGGAGGCCTGTGTGTGTGTGTTTTCCTCAAGACAGGGCTTCTCTGTGTAGCTCTGGCTGGCCTCAAACTCAGAGGTCCACCTGCCTTTGCCTCCCAAGCGCTGAGAATAAAAATGTACACTGGGCGGTGGTGGTGCACACCTTTAATCCCAGCACTCGGGAGGCAGAGGCAGGTGGATCTCTGTGAGTTCAAGGCCAGCCTGGTCTACAGCGCGAGATCCAGGAAAGGCGCAAAGCTGCACAGAGAAACCCTGTCTCAAAAAAAAAAAAACAAAAAAAAAAAAACAAAAAAAAACCACCGCTGCTGACTGAGAGACCCTGTTCCAACAACAACAAAGACTCTAGAGCTAGGCGTAATGGTACAAGTCTGTAGTCGTAGTACTAAGGAGGACTGCTTTCAGTTCATATCCAGTCTGGGCTACATAGTGAGACCCTGTCTCAAAAAAAGGGGCTGTAGGCTACAGAAGTTTGGAAGAGTTTACTCAATGGTAGAGTGCATACTTAGCCAGCAGGAAGCCTTAGGTTTAATCCTAAGTACCTCACTATAGTAGAATATTATTTTAAGCTATGTTACTTGTATTTACATTGCATTTGTTTAACTCTGTGAAGCTGTGTTACTGTGCCTGTCTAAAACACCTGATGGTCCAATAACAAGCTAAACAGCCAATAGCAAGGCAGGAGAAAGGATAGGTGGGGCTGACGGGCAGAGAGGATATATAGGAGAACTCTGGGAAAGAGAGGAAGAAAAGATGGAGCTACACAGCAAGCCACAGAGTAAGAGTAAGATTTACAGAAGTAGGAAAACAGAAAAAGCCCAGAGGCAAAAGGTAAACAGGATAATTTTAAGAAAAGCTGACTAGAAACTAAGCCAAGCTAAGGCCAGGCATTCGTAATTAAGAATAAGCCTCTGTGTGTGATTTATTTGGGAGCTGGGTGGCGGGCCTCTCTAAAAGAGCTAAATAAACAAACAACAGCACTTCACCCCTAATGTAAAAACGATTGCTAGAATAGAATGTCTGTCTGTCTGTCTGTCACGTTGTTGTTGTTGCAGTGCTGAGGATGGAGCTTGGGGCCTTGTACATGTTAGCCATTTCTCCAGCCCTATAGAAAGCCTTCCCTAGTATTAAAGATAGAGCCCCAGCCGTACACATACTAGGAAAGTAGTAGTAGTCATCTCTGTCCCTCAGACTTCTTTTTACTTTTTATTTTAAGACAGGGTCTTGCTATGTAGTTCATACCTTGCAGTCCTCATGCCTTAGCCTTCTGAGTGTTGAGGTTACAGGCCTCAGCCAACTGGCCCAGTTGGAAAGTCTTGAAGTACCTACCTTTAATCAGGCATAGTGGCTCACATTTTCAATCCCAGCACTCAAAAGCATGTGGGTATCTGTGAGTTGCAAAGCTAGTCTACATAGTGAGTTCCAAGCCATCCAGAGCTATAACATGAGAACCTGCATCAAATAAAAAATTTTTATTGTCTGAAAATCAGAGGACAGAGCCAGCCACAGTTAGCCACAGATGTCAGGCAGTGGTGGCCCACACCTTTAATTCAGCACTTAGGATTACTCACCTTTAATCCCAGCACTAGGAACTTTGAGACAGGAAGTGATATGGCTGAGCAGAGAAAGGAATATAAGGCAGGAGGAGACAGGAATTCACTCTCTTGCAGAGGCTCTGTCAGGCTGAGGAGTTGGTGAGGTAAGAGGTGGTAGCTGTGGCTTGCTTTGCTTCTCTGATCTTTCAGCTTTCACCCTGATAATCTGGCTCCGGGCTTTTATTATAATACCATTTACGATTTGTGCAATAGAACCCCCCCCTCACACAAATTTAAGTACCTGTCTTTAAGCCCCATTCCACATTCTCAAATAACAAAGACGGCCATATGTGAATGTCTGTCCTGCCTGTACTATGTATGTCCTGCCCTGTCTTACTAGCTCCAGGTTAAAGAAAAGGAACCTAGCAGGATGAAATCCTTTATTTTGTTGTTTTTGCTTTCCATTAACAGGGGAGCCCAAAGAAGTGTGAAGCTGGAGAGGCAGAGCCACCAGCTGCCACACAGCCTCAAACCTCAGAGACTCAGATCTCTCATCTACCAGAATCAGAAAGGATTCATCACACTGTGTAAGTAAGGATATAACAAGGAATGACAAATGTGGGATTATGCTTTACTTACTTAGAGTTTCCTTGACTCGGCGGTTCTGGATTCCTTTTAAAATATAAAAGCACGCCGGGCGGTGGTGGCGCACGCCTTTAATCCCAGCACTCGGGAGGCAGAGGCAGGCGGATCTCTGTGAGTTCGAGGCCAGCCTGGTCTACGGCGCGAGATCCAGGAAAGGCGCAAAGCTACGCAGAGAAACCCTGTCTCGAAAAACCAAAAAAAAAAAAAATATAAAAGCAGAGTTTTAATGGACAAAGGCCAGACTTTGTCACTGTGGTAGGGCCTCAACTCCCAAACCATTAAGGTCGTTTGGAAAACAGTGATCAGGGCATTAGAAAAACATCTGGGGTCTCTGAGCTGAAACAGGCAACTCCTTTAAGCAGTAAGCACCTGAGTGTGAGTCTCCCTCTGGTTAAGACAGTAAGGAATTAAGGGATCCTAACTCAGTGTTCTAATCACATGCACCAGGCTCTTACATCTGAGCCTCCTAAGAACTTGGTGTAATAAAGAAGGGTCTAAAAGCTAGGCGTGGTGGTTTGTACCTGTAATCCCATTTTTGAGGTAGGCAAAAGAGAATTAAACTCCATGGACCTATGGCAAATTTGACAGGAACTAGATGAAACTCTGTTGCAAAAGAAATAAATAAGCACATAGAGTGCTCAGAAGGATGAGACAGGAGAACCACCACAAGTTCCAGGTCAGACTGGTCGACGTAGCAAGTTCCAGGCCAGTGCTGCATATCGAGCCCATGTCTAGGCTGAGCATAATGGCACACACCTTTAATCTCAGACGAGGGAGGCAGAGATAGGCAGATTACTGAGTTGGAGGTTGGTCTGGTCTATATAACAAATTACAGGACAGCTAGAGCAACATAGAAAGACCTTATCTCAAAAAAAAAAGGAATGCCACACAAACCTGGACATGGTAGCCCAAGCATTTGGAGACTGGGGCAGGAAGATTGTGAGTTGAGGGCCAACCTGGACTACATAGCAATACCCTGACTCATAAACAAAGCAAAGCCAAAAAGCAGACTAACCACATAGGAGCATGGCATTCCCTGCACTCTGCCGCCTGTCTCTAGTAAGCAGCCTGTACCAGTTGGTGCCTTAAGAGTCCAGCACAGCAGACAGGAGGCCCTCTCTAGACACTTCGTTCTTACAGCTAACGTGAGCTTTTTAGTACTTACATTGTAAAAGAAATATTCATGTGTGATTTGTAGTTGAATGGATGTTCATTATTCTGAGCTTTGTGTTGTAAATTAAGTTGTTGAAGCGAGACAGGTGCCATGCACACACCCGTAACCCCAGTGCTCTCCTACAATCTCAGTATTTGGGGAGGCTGAGGCAGAACAATTGAAAGCTCAAGGATAGCCTGGGATAAGTACCAAGACTCTGCCTCACAAAAGAAAAGGAAAGAAAAGGGGCATGGTGGAGCACACTCTGGAGGTGGAGGCAGGAGGATCGGATGTCATCTTTGACTTCATAGTAAGTTTCAAGTCCAACCTGCTACGGTGAGAAATCCTGTCTTTAATTTTTATGTATTTATTTACTCAGAATTCCTGGCTTCAATGTCTCAAATTCTCCTGAAAAATGAAGTTTTAAAATAGTAAAATTACTTAGCTGTAAACCTCAGGAATTCTGGGATTGCTTTGGGAAATATCCTATTGTTCGGCATTTGTGTTTTTAATTCTGCTACCAGTATTATCTCTATACATAGTAGTCTGATCATTTACACACTTAAGAGAGCTTCCAGCGGTCTCTTAGCTCTAATTTGGAGGGTGGTGGGCAAGCGGTATGATAATCTTATTTCCTGTGACTAACGATAATTTTGTGCTCTGCTCTGTTTGCCCATATTCTTGCCTCTGCTGCCATCTTGTGGCCATTATTTTTTTGACTCAGAAACCAGAAGCTTGCTCCTTTTTTTTTTTTTTTTTTTTTTTTTTTTTTTCTTCGAGACAGGGTTTCTCTGTGTAGCTTTGCGCCTTTCCTGGAACTCACTTGGTAGCCCAGGCTGGCCTCGAACTCACAGAGATCCGCCTGGCTCTGCCTCCCGAGTGCTGGGATTAAAGGCGTGCGCCACCACCGCCCGGCTGCTCCTTTTGATAAGGTTTAGTTTTTCTATTGTGAGACAGGGTTCATTATCCTGTGGAAAAGGATTTTTTTTTCTTCTAGGGCCTTAAAAATGAAGCTTCTAGGACTCTGGAAGGTATTGAGAACTCTAGTTCACACCGTCTATGACAAAGTGGGGCGAAATCCCCCTTTGTATGTCACTCAAACATAATGTGGTCTTCCCCATTCCGCGATGGTACAGCATGCTCTTGCACACTGGAAGTTTGAAAGTGGTTGTGCACACGTTGAAGAACTGCTCACTGTGCACCTTGAGAAGTAGTAGTGTCTGCAGAGCTCCTTGCACACCTTTAGATGGTTAGTACAAGATTGGAGCAAGAACAAGAGAAGCTGTTTTTGTTGTTGAAAATGCCTTTATTTCTGGATTTTTCCATTCAGTTCCAGGGCGTATGAAGCTTGGGGTTATATACAGAGTATTTTCACTGTGCTAGAGGTGATTTTGACCTTCATTTTATGACTAAGATAATCCAGTCCTGTTAATTCTGAGAAGGTGATAGCTTGGGCAAATGAAGACCATTGTCTTGATCTGTGGTAGGCAGTCTGTTCAGCAACCTAAGATGTTTCACAGGCTGAAGCCCATACAACTGTTCTGACATAGAATTTGGTACATAAATTTTGTGGGTTTCCTATATTTCAACTGATTGATTGACAGCACTCCTGGTCTTAGCAGCTTGATCTTCTAGAGTCCTTGCCAACTTAAAAAGTGGGATCATTTGCCGGGCGGTGGTGGCACACGCCTTTAATCCCAGCACTCGGGAGGCAGAGCCAGGTGGATCTCTGTGAGTTCGAGGCCAGCCTGGTCTCCAAAGCGAGTTCCAGGAAAGGCGCAAAGCTACACAGAGAAACCCTGTCTCGAAAAAACCAAAAAAAAAAAAAAAAAAAAAAAAGTGGGATCATTTAAAAATACTAAATAGCAAAGAACATTGATGGCTTAACTCTTGGGTTTCCTCCTATCTCAAGACCATCTGACCACAAAACAACAGTAAAGTGTTAGGCCAAGATTAGAATTTACTTCAAGGTCCATTCTTTTTTTTTTTGGTTTTTCGAGACAGGGTTTCTCTGTGTAGCTTTGCGCCTCTCCTAGAACTCGCTTTGGAGACCAGGCTGGCCTCAAACTCACAGAGATCCGCCTGCCTCTGCCTCCCGAGTGCTGGGATTAAAGGCATGCGCCACCACCGCCCGGCTTCAAGGACCATTCTTACTCTGTTGGTTGTTTTGATTGTGTGTGAGGTGCTTTAAATGTAAGAAGTGAGCCAGGTGTTGTGGTACATCCCTTTAATCCTGGCACACAGGGTGGGGAGGGGGCAGGTGTTCTTCTGTGAATGTGAGGACAGCCTGGTCTTCATAGAGAGTTCCAGGACATCCAGGGCTGTATAGTGAGACTGTCTAAAGAGACAGAGTAGTGGTAGGGTGATAGTAGTGTCTTTTTTTTTTCCTTGCTCAGGGCAAGAATTTGTGAGTCCTCAGTTCAAATTTGGTCAAGCTGTGTTCCAAAGTCTAGTCCTCTGCCTGTGGTAGATATAACAAAAATCTCATACAGCAAAAAATATTGCTCTCCTTTTATTTAGACAGTAGAGGGTTAGTGCACGCGCATTTGAGAGAGAGAAGGGAGGGGATCGGGGGAACACATGTGGGTGCATTTGTTTGGTAAAATGCTTGCTTTATGCATAAGAACTTCAATTTGATCCCCAGTGTCTACATGAAAAAACTTGATGGGCACGATGCACACATAAGACACATACCACATAAAAGTGAATTCATGCTCTACTTGCAAGAAAACCAGTGGAGGTGCACACCTGCCATCCCAGATCCTGCATTGAGAGCTGGCCCTGGCTCATATACTGAGACCAAGTCTAAAGAGAACCCATTTTTTCAGAGGGTACAGTAAAAGGTGAAAAGGATGGGTGCATTGTTCATGGGTGTCAGTGAGTTCATATACTGACCTTTTCTAGATACAGCCTCTGTGTACGCAAACCTCAGACTCGGGACGCTTTGCTTAGTCCTTGTGCCCTGAGAAAAGGAAGGAAATACTTGAAACCAATATGACAGTCTGATGCTCCTCAGGAGACTTAGAATGCCAGTATCCCAAATAGTACATTCTTTAAAACAAAAATAGCATAATTTGTTATCAAAGTTTGCTTACTGAGAAGTTTGTATATAAGCATAAACCTTCCAAATTATACTATCAGGTTTCAGTATTTCTTTTTTTTTTTTTTTTTTTTTTTGGTTTTTCGAGACAGGGTTTCTCTGTGTAGCTTTGCGCCTTTCCTGGAACTCACTTGGTAGTCCAGGCTGGCCTTGAACTCACAGAGATCCGCCTGCCTCTGCGAGTGCTGGGATTAAAGGCATGTGCCACCACCGCCCGGCAGTCAGTATTTCTTATTAAGTTTTCATATCGGGTCCTTAGCATCTTAGGATTTTCTATAACTAAAGTTAAACATACATGCCTGTAGAATTGGCCTTTTCCATTAGTTTCTCTTGGGTCATTGATATTGTAATGTGATGTTAATATTTAAATAATTCTGTCCTTTTCTTCTGAGCTGTGATGCTTTGCCTGGGGCTGGCTTGTGGATCCCTGTCTCCTTTCCTGTACAACTTTACAGGTCAGAAGCATATGTTCAAGAGCTCGAAGCAGAGAGAAAGATGCCTTTTGTCTAAAAAAGATGGGACAATTTCAAGGATTCCTTATTGTCTTCTGAAAATAGCATCTTAGGAATTCTTGGGTCCCATAAAATTCATAAAAGGAAATAGAAGGGGCTGGAGAGATGGCTCAGAGGTTAAGAGTACTGGCTGCTCTTGCAGAGGACCCAGGTGCATCCTTAGCACCCACATGGTGGCTCATGACCATCTGTAACTCTGGTTCAGGGCTTTCAGTGCCCCCTTCTGACCTCAGGCACACACAGTGCACATACATACATGCAGGCAAAACACTCGTACACATAAAATAATGATTCTTTTTTATTTTATTTTTTGAGATTATAATTGCATCATTCTTTATCCCATTCTTTTTCTCCCTCTAAACCTTTCATATACCCTTCCTTGCTCTCTTTCAAATTCATGGCCTCTTCTTTCATAAATTGTTGTTACATGCATTTATGTATATGTATGTGTGGATAGGAAATAGAAGGCACAAATCTCAGCTGGGCAGTGGTGGTTCACTCAGAAGGCAGAGGCAGACCGATCTCTGAGTTTGAGGCCAGCCTGGTCTATAGAGCAAATTCCAAGGCAGCTAGGGCTACGCAGAGAAACCCTGTCTCAAAAAATATATGTATAAAAGTTCCAGTTATAAGCCAGGTGTGATGGCTTTAATCCCAGCAATCAGGAGTAGAGGCTGTGAGTTCAAGGACTGCATAGTCAGTTCCAGTGTTAGGATCAAAGGCGTGCACCACCACTGCCCAGTGAGAGACCCGTGTTTTGGTTTTTTATTTTTTCCAAGACAGTTTGTAGACCAGGCTGGCCTTGAACTCACAGAGGCCCTGTTTTAATGACTAATGTAAAGAGGAAAATGATTCCCAACTAACTCTTGTCTTCACATGTAGGCTCACACAAGTACATACATGGGACCCACACCTCACATTTACATGAAACAAAGAGAAAAAAATCTTTTAGATCAACAAATGCTTGTGAAGTGTTCACTTGTTCCCCATCATTACACTGTAATTAAGAAGTACTTATCTGGGTATTTGTGTTAGGCCCTGAGCTAGGGGCCAAAGCACACAGTCCATACCCTGAGGAGCTGTGCAGGGTGGAGTTAGGTGGCCAGTGACCTAATGATAATTTATTATTCAGAGGGTCAAAACTTGTCATCCCCATCACTGAATGTTTTAGCATCAGAGGAAGTATCTACCCTTTGAATTTAAAAAAATAAAATAAAAAATAAAGCTTCAGATGGGGCCCCTCCAATGACTCTGCCACCTCGGCCTGTGTTTCCTATATACTCCTATCTAGATTTGCTTGCAGCTGCCAGGACAGACCCCACAGAGCTCACACTGTCCCTGAGCTGGGTATTATATTAGCAACACTTAGAGGATAATAGGAGAAGTTCAGAAATTTCCCCACTATCACACAATTTGTAAAAGGTAGGGCCAGTCTGATTCCTGGGTTTAGACCCCATACAGGATCTTGCCTTACCTTCTAAGCAGACAAGGATCATTATGTAAAAGGAAACATTTAAAGAAATGTATAAGCATCACTTTAGCATGCTTTTTTTTTGGCATGTAAGTTTGGGATTTTAAACAGCATGTAGAAAATTCCATTCCTATCTAAGAGCTCTGATCAAAATGAAATACTGAGATTGGGTGTGGTAGTACACACCTTTTATCCCAGCACTCTGGAGTCAGAGGCAGGCTGATCTCTTGAGTTCAAGGCCAGTCTGTCCCTGTTTCCCCCCCCCCCCCCCCCAGCCCTTTCCTCCAGAGTGTAAACTTGCAGACAAGTTTTTTGAGGCTTGTTCTGGTGTTACAGTTTTGTTTGCTGTTAGGGAAAGGAGTTGAGTACATTTCAATCGGCAAATGAGCTTGTTGAGACTCTTCAGTGTTTGTTACTGGGGGAGGGTATTTGACAGGCTGGTCTCAACCGTATAACAATCCTCCTGCCTCAGTCTCTCTAGTACTGGGGTTGTAGTCAGGAGCCACCATGTCTGGCAGGTGTGCACCTTTTGTTCAGGTCTGTTTCCAACTTCATATTTAATCTCGTGAAGATGCCCATAATTACTGTTTTGCTCATCTCCCAGTCTCGTTTTGCTCAGTCATTCTTCTCCCTTGCCCCAAGTGACACCTCTCACCTCCAGTGTCTTGTCTGCTTCGGAGGCCTTCAGGCTTCAGCTCTGCAAGGCCTCCTGGCCTTTCCCTTACTAGTTATAAGGAACCCCGGGGCTGAGTGGCCTTGTTGAAGACTGGGAACACTCATCTGTTATCCCTCCAGAGACACCCACCCTTTTCTCTTTTGGAGAAGGAGTTCTGTCCCAGATTGATCCACTTCCCTCCACCATTCATTGGAAACAGACAGGTTACATGTGGCCATTGCCAGGGGTGAGCAGCAAGGGAGTTCTCCTGGGTTGGAGGGTGATGGGCACATTAAAAAAAAAAATTGTGTCTCAGTGTTCTGAGGGTAGAATAGAAACTTTGGTCATCTTTAAAAATCTTTCCACTTTGACTTTATCTTTTTTCTTTTAATCCTTTCTCATTCCCAGCTCTGCTGTTTCACTTCACTTAATGTATGTCTTCAGTCAGGCAGCTCTTACTGTATGTTCTCCCGACCTGGCCCCTTCTTCCCTTCTTTGCCCCCTGGGAAGTCTGGGAGAAAGCACCCTGGTCCTGTGGCACTAGCCCTCTCTGTGTAGCTGTTGTAACCTGAGAAAAGAAGGGAAAAGGCCTAGCTTCTGGAGCCAGTTGACTCCCTGTGGCCTGCCAGAGGATAAGAACCTTGCTCACTCAGCTCCCTCCCTCTTTCCCCTCCCCTGCTGCATCAGGGCCCTCCCCCATCCGCACACACGGGCTGCTGGGTAAGTGGCAAGATGGCTCCCCTGCATGTCTCCGGCTGATCGCTGCCGCTTCGCCAATACAATAGAGCCAGCTATTACCAGCAGCCTGGCCTTCTTCCTCCTCTTCCTCCCGAGAGACCAATCCAGCCGAACTCAGGGTTTGCCGTGAGGACTTAAACGCTTATCTCTTAAAAGCCAGATCTGTTTAGCCTCCCGCTCCACCACCACCTCCCCTTCCATTTACCATTTTTTTGGATCCCCAGTTGCTGCATCTTGATTTTCTCTCTCTGGATCGGGTGGCTGGGAGGAGGTGGTGGGATCTCGGGGCAAGGAAGGTGGTTTGTTTGGTTTGGGGTTTTGTTTTTTTGTTTTAATTTTTTTAGGATTTTTTTGTTTGGTTTTTGTTATTTCTTCCATTCCAGAAAGGGATAAACAGCACTTCCAGGGGGAGAAAAAAAATCATGTTATCAGACAGCAAAGAAGGGTGAGAGCTCCGCATTCCCATGTGTCCCTTTCCCCACCTCTAGCCGCCTCGTCCTCCTTGGCTTCCTCATGGCTCTCACTGTCTTTCATTTTGGTCTGTTTTCAGGCATTCCGCTTTCTCCCTTTGTCCTTCCTGCTCGGTTCCTAGTCGGCCCCAGTTGCCCTCTCTGAGAAATAGGTCGTTTGTTTGGGTTTGGTTTTGATAAGCCTTTCTTCACGATTTAAGCAGACAAATCACGTGTTTGTGTGGGGGCCTGTGAGCTGGGGGCCCGGTCCTGATTCCCCTCCCCCTCCCTTTGCATCTCTCCTTGCTCCCTAGGGAGGCTTTTCTGACCCCTTGTGGGTCCGACAGCCTTTTGGGAAGGCTGGATCTTCTGGTGCTGGTTGTTGGCCTGGGGAGGCTGGGTTCCCTTCTCTGTCACTTGGGCCCCTGACCATCTTGATTTGGTTTTTTTTTTAAACCTAGTATGGGGCTGGGGTGGGATTAGAAGTTAGGGGTGGTGACAGAAAGGTAGGAAGATATTTTATCCAATGGTATCTCTAGATTTCTTTGTCTGAAGTGGGTGCTAACTTGTGGGAGAGTGAGTTCCATGTTTGGGGGGAGTTGTGTGGTGTGGGGGAGGGTATGCACTGACTTGGGAGGACTGCTCTCTATCTCTTGGAAGTTGGAATGAGGGAGTGGGGAGAGACCGGGTAAGAGTTGACCGTAAGAGCGTTGACTGAGCAGGTGAGAGTGGCCTGACCCTTGAGGCTTCCTTTCCTACTGGGATGAGAGAAGTGGGCATGCCCACCAACCCTCGACTCACTCCTGCAGCCCTCACCCTGCTCTGTTCTGCTGTCTCCAGATGGGGGCTCATCGGGCACTGGCTTATTAAACACGAGGTTGGGATCATTTGTCACAGCCGTGCCGTGCCCTCTTGGCTTGTGTTTTGTTTTTTAATCAAGGAAACGGGCTTCCTTTAGATTCTTGTTCAAAGTAAAGGTGCCTGCAACCCGGGGATAGGGAGGCCACAGACTGATGGACAATTCGAGGTCACTTTTGAAGGACTTTTTAGAGGAGGATGTATGTTTCATGCAAAGGAACTGTGGAGTTTGCACCTAAGAACTCTGTCAGTTCTGGGTGCCCACATGGAAAGAGAGAGCAGTGTTGTCCCGTCCAGGTGCTCGGTGGCCATGATCACTGTAATCCATGCTTTTTCCCCAAGGAAAACATTCCCACTTTCCTGTGGTGACAGAGTTCTAGTGTGATCTAAAAGGTAGCTATTACAATCCCACCCAAGTGAGGAGACAGTGGGATTTTATGGCCCCGAAACTAACATCTTGCTCTCTCTTCCCCTTATTCTCTCCTGCCCTTTCCTTCAACCTCTTCCATCCTGTCAGTGAAGAGAAGGAGGAAGTGACCATGGACACAAGTGAAAACAGACCTGAAAATGAGGTTCCAGAGCCTCCTGTACCTATCGCAGACCAAGTCAGCAATGATGACCGCCCAGAGGGCAATGCTGAAGAAGAGGAGAAGAAAGAGGTAACTAGCCAAGCCACCTGATGGCGTGGGCGGGTGGGCAGAACGTGGGCCTAGGGAGACTAGACCATCCTGGTGATCCCTCACGTAGTGGGATGACTTACGAGGGGACAAGGCAGGGCCTTGGAGCAGGAGAAGTCGCTGGTTTCACAAGGGATACCCCTTGTGATGGGGACAGGGCTCTTGGATTTCCTTTCCCTACGTGGGAAGTAGTATAGACCAGACTCCTAATTTGGAAGCCCGTTAATGGTCCTTTCTCTAAAGCCCAGCACAGCTTTTCCTGCTGCTGAAGCTTATGGGAAGCTAACTCCTTGAGCTTTCCCTCCCTTTTAAAGGCCTGGTGGCACTCCACGCCACCTAGTGGGCTTTGCTGGCTCTTACCAGATCAACCGTGCTGAGGAATTTTTGTTGCTCTTCTGCCCCCCAGTGGTCTCATTACAGAGGTACACTTCTTACAAGCCAGGACTGGGGTGATCCAGAAGGCCCCTGTCTCCTCTTTTGGCATGTATATTACCTTTTTTCCTGTACCTAATTCAAGAGGTATCCCCCATTGGAGCCAGCGAAGTCTTCTTGGCTCTTAAAGAAATAGAATTAGCTGGGTTTGGGAGTGGTAATTTTACAGGGTGGGAGGGGCTGTTGTGTGTGTAGCCTTTCTCTGGTGTGTGTTGCGGGGGTGGGGGCCGGTGAAAGTGATTTGATGTGCAGAATATTATTTATTACAAGGTCCTTCTTCCCCGTAAAACTTTGTCCAAGTACCTCATGTACGGTAATCCGCCCGTAAAATATAACCCTGCCCAACTGGCCAATCGCTGATGCCGCCTCTACCTCTGGACCCACCCGCTGCTACTGAGCCGCCCAATCAGAGCCGAGTCTGCTATCCAGGTGTCTTGACCAGAGGGGGCATGTGTATGGGCTCCTGTGATGGGCCCCTTTGCCTCCCTGTCTTGCTTACATCGGGGGCTAAGAAGAGCACTGTTCTGGAGAGACTCGTACTGAGAAAACAAAAGCATGTGGAAGGGGGTGGACTTGAATCATCTCCCTACTTGGGACACCCCAAGAAGAGTTTATGCCAGTGCTGGGGCGCCTGCCCACATGCCCTTACCTGTCAAAGACTGTGGGTTGCCTTGTTTGCTACAGACTGTTGGGATCCCCATCTAGGGACCAAGAAACCTAAGAGGGTCGGTGTTTGTGATAACAGTGCCATGCTGTAAACACTGAGTGGGACCCATGACTTAAGCTGTGCCGACTAGGAACCCTGCAGAGAAGTCTAGGGTCTGTACCCCAGGGATTTAAAGCTGATGACAGCCCAACCCATGTGTCACCACTGCTCATCAGATGGACTTGATTTTGGTCCCTGCTGTCCATGGTGAAGGGCAGCAGCATGTTGGTTGCTCCAACTTCTCCTCCATCCCTGGAGGCAGGGACTCATTCATCCATCCACCTGACTGGAACCACTGTCTCAGCTGGAGTCCCTGAGGAGATGCCAACCACAACCCAGAAGACACATATTCTGATCTTGCTGCTGAATGTGTACCAGGTCCTGGGGAAGTTCATCTACTACTGCCCCAGGCTACCTTCATCAGAGGCTCCATGATCCTTCTCGGTGAAAGGACCCCTCCCCAGTTACATTCAGAGGAGGAAGGGACTTTGGAGTCATCACCTGGATTCCAAGTATTGGGTGGTGGTATTGCTGCAGCTTGCCACTGGTGGACTAGGGTCCTGCCTGCCTCATAAAAGGCAAGGAGCATCCCTGCTACTCAGAGGCCATCTCATCAGGGACTACAAGATGATGCCCTACAGGGCCAGGACTGATGTTCTGCCCCCATTCCCCCTCTGCCCCTCGCTGAGGCTGGCCATCGCCAGTGAACTGTCTTGACATCTTGGAAACTGGGCAGCGTCCCCCCACACGTTTCCCTCCCGCCCCCCCTGCGCCCCTGGGAGGACTCTGGCAGTGCCGCGCTGACTACCACGCCGTGCGCCCACCTTTTTTGCCAACCCAACCCCCCACCAATTGCACAGCGCCTAGCAGGGAGGGCTCATTCTGATTGGACCGGCGGTTGACTAGATACAGTACACAGTGAGGTGCGATTGGCTGAACTGAAGATCCCAGGTGTGAGATGGTACCTGGAACATTTGTCATATTCCTAGTTTATTCTTTATTTTCTACTTCTTCTTTAATCTATTATTTTAATTTTTTTCTTTATTTTTCTGATTTCTTTGTTGGGTTTTTTTTTTATTTGGTTCGTGTTTTTCTTGTTTTAATTAAGACTTTTTTTCCCCCCTTTTCTCACTAACTTACCCATCATGAGCAGCCCAGCTAGGGATCAGGCTGGCCCTTAACAGACCAAGGAGACTTGGTTAGATGATACAGGCGGGGCTGAGGGTGGGGGGGAAGGTTAGGAGGGTTCTGCCCTGCCCTTTAGAAGGGTGGGGGTGGATGGTCTTAGTTTTTCCAGAAATAAGCACCTAAATCTAAAAGTGTGCCACTCGCCCCCACACACACTTTTGCTCTGTCTGTAATATTGCTCCCACTGAGTGTCTGGGAGGAGGCTTGCCCAAATCTGTCTCCTGGGGTTGGTTTTGGTCCTTGGTCTGAGCCCCCGGGGTTTGAGTCTTATTGGAAGGATAGCGTTAGGCTGTGCTGTAGTGAGGATGGTAGCTGGAGGTGCTGAAGCTTTCCCTGAGGCTGCCTGCCCTTGACCAGAACCTCCTTACACAGGAGATACTTTTCAGTGCTCTGCTAGCTGTTGGCTCAGGAGTTCCATCTTCAGTGAACCTAGTCTAATCCTTTTCCATGGTGGTGGTGGTCTGGGTGGCCTTCAAGCATGCCACATCCTGTCAAGATGTCAGACTGGGCATGGAGTAAAGGAAAGTTGTTGAAGTGCCATCTCAGGAGTTGATTTTCTGTCTGAGCAAGCTCATTGGGTTAGGTGTCCTCACCCCTTAGATACAGTTGAAGAGGGCATGGTCAGCAGTTTTAAAGGGCTGGGAGGGAGCCGGGCATGGTGGCTCATGCCTGTAATCCCAGCTCTTGGGAGGCTGAGGCAGGAGGATCACTGCAAGTTTGAAGCCAGCCTAAGCTACATAGTGAGACCCTGTCTCAAAAAAGAAGAACCCAAAAATTAAATAGCTGGGAGGTTGTGGAGTTCCTCTTCCAGCTTATTTCTGGTAAAGCTAATACTCTGATGTGAAATGGAATAGATGAGTTTCCCTATGATGTTTGGTTTTAATTTTTCCTCTAACTTGCATTGATTCTGCTTCGTTTTTTGCCGTTTGCTGCTTCTGTTTTGGTCTCTATCTGTTGGTGTCTCTCTCTCTGTCTCTGTGTGTCTTTGGCATTTGTGCTAAGATTGCCCCATTTAACCTCCTTCCCCCTCTCTGTGGGGTGTCTCTCTCTCTCTCTTTCTTCCTTATCTTCTCCATACAGAGTTCGATGCCCAAATCATTCAAGAGGAAAATCTCCGTTGTCTGTAAGTCTGGCCCCAAATCCCTGGTAAAAGTTATAAAACTGTTCACAGACAGATAGAATCCCATTTCTACCCCGTAACATTCTTGGTGGGGGGCAGTTCTCCCTGCCCTTCACCTACCAAGTCTTCCCTACACATGTAGGCGCCTCTTCCCCTTGAACCAATCCCATTGTTTCCCCAGCTACGTGTGTGTGTGTGTGTGTGTGTGTGTGTGTGTGTGTTGTGTGCTATGGATCAAATCCAGGACCTTGCACATGCTAGGCAAGCAATACCACAGCAGTTTCCTTGGCTCCGACCGAGTTTAAGAAAAGTGCTGTGCCTCAGACCAGTTCCAGTCTATCCTCTTCCTTCTACTTAGTTTTTTTTTCCTTTTTTCTTATTCTTTTTTTTTTTTTTTTTTTTCCTCCGGTTTTTCGAGACAGGGTTTCTCTGTAACTTCGTGCCTTTCCTGGAACTCACTTGGTAGCCCAGGCTGGCCTCGAACTCACAGAGATCCGCCTGGCTCTGCCTCCCGAGTGCTGGGATTAAAGGCATGCACCACCACCGCCCGGCTCTACTTAGTTTTGAGACAAGGTCTTTGCTATGTAGACCAGGCCAGCTGCAGACTGAACCGGCCACATCCTCTCAAGGAGCTGGGATTACAGACATCTGCTTCTATTCCTGACTCTTAGAGGAATGTTGTTCTTTTGGGTTCTGGTCTTGAATTTGTAGTCAGAGAGACTCTCCCGAATAATGATTACCATTTTATACTTTATTCTAACACGCATCTAGGGAATGATTGTGCTTCTTACAGTAATTTTAACTGTTTCCCACTGAAGAACTCCCATGGTGGTGGTAGTGGTGTTTTCCGGTTGGCCTGAAATTTGCTGTATAGACTAGGCTGGTCTTGAGATATTCCTCTGTATTTTCAAGTGGTGGGATTAAAGGTGTTTGTCACCATACCCAACCCAGACCCCCACTCCCCACCCCGTAAGGCACTCTATTGCGAAAGTGTGTTAGACGGTCATAGAAGCTCCTGTCGGAGTGTTCGTCCAACTAGTTACCCCTTCTCTTTTACAGACAAATCCTTTTCATCTATAAGGAAGATACAACATTTTTGTTTACCCTTAAGCCTTAGTCCCCTAGCCCCCCAAGAAAAATATTTCCTTAACCTTTTACTAAAACTCCAGCCAAAAGCAAGTTATGTGTTATGGTTTGAGCTAGCAGGGAGCCTGAGGCCAACTAACTGTTGGGTCCTATTTCTTGGGGACAGCAGCTACCAAGGGGGTGCAAGCTGGAAACAGTGACACAGAGGGGGGCCAGCCTGGTCGAAAACGACGTTGGGGAGCCAGCACAGCCACCACACAGAAGAAGCCTTCCATCAGTATCACGACCGAGTCACTCAAGGTGAGGTGGGAGGGGCCAGGGAAGGGAGGAGAAGACATGTGGAGATGGGAGTAGACACGGGCCCAGTGTAACGGGGTAGCGGGGATGTCTGTGTCCCAGAGCCTCATCCCCGACATCAAACCCCTGGCGGGGCAGGAGGCTGTTGTGGATCTTCATGCTGACGACTCCCGAATCTCTGAGGATGAGACAGAGCGTAATGGTGATGATGGAACCCACGACAAAGGACTGAAAATATGCCGGACAGTCACTCAGGTAAAAGTACTGCACCCCAGCATCAGGAGTGAGGCAGTAGGTAAGAGCACCGCTGAGGAGCTGAGGTAAAGTCCTAGAAGGAAACTCCTGTGCTGAGGGCTGGGTTAATTGATACACATTCTGGGCTCGTGCTATGCTAGACATTGCCAGTTGCAAAGAACGTGGGGTTCTTTTTGTTTTTTTGGGGGGGTTTTTTGTTGTTTTTTTTTGTTTTTCGAGACAGGGTTTCTTTGTGTACCTTTGAGGTCTTTTCTGGGACTCACTTGGTAGCCCAGGCTGGCCTCTAACTCACAGAGAACCGCCTGCCTCTGCCTCCTGAGTGCTGGGATTAAAGGCGTGCGCCACCACCGCCCGGCTCAAAGAACGTTTTATTAGAACACAACCACACCAATTCATTTACTCTTGTTTCAGCAGCTTGTGCCACAGTATCAGAATTAAAAACTAAAGACTAAAATAGTTGAACTTCTTGCCTCATGCAGAAAAAAAAGTCCAGGCCAGCAGGATTATTCAGTGGGTAAAGGGGCCTTAGCAGCCCTCTGCAGGACCCATGTGGGAGACCCGGCTCCTCAAGTTGCCCTGACTTCCACAGCGGCTATTGCCTGTGTGTATGTAGGCACACAGGCAATTAAATGTTTGTTTTTGTTTTCAGTAAAAGTGTTTTAGCCAGGCATGGTGGCACACGGCTTTAATTCCAGAGAGGCGGAGGCAAGCAGCTCTCTGAATTCAAGACCAGTCTAGCTCTCTAGGACAGCCAGGACTCCATAGACCCTGTCTCAAAACACACATAAAACAAGAGTTGAGAGTTACCGAGAATAACCTCCCTCAGTGGAAGGAATGTGCGAGGTTGATAATACTACTGTCTTTGGGAGCCAGAGTCTGAAGAGAATATGGCAGCGTGGTGACAGACCACCTCTGCTTCCTGCTGTCTTGACAGGTGGTACCTGCAGAGGGCCAGGAGAATGGGCAGAGGGAAGAGGAAGAAGAGAAGGAGCCTGAAGCAGAACCCCCTGGACCTCCCCAGGTGTCGGTAGAGGTGGCCTTGCCCCCACCTGTGGAGCAGGAAGTAAAGAAAGGTGGGTGAGGTGTAACTGCCATCTGAATTCTCTAAGGACTGACCACATGTGGATCATTTGGGCATTTGATGCCTTCTGCCTTACCTGTCGAACGTTTTTCTGTGTCTAGCATCTCCCGGTACTGCTTTGAACTGGGTTTGAGTCTTAGAATGTTCAAATCTCCACGATGAGGAGACTAATCTGCCCTTGCACCTTGGGAGATGGGAGAGGGGCTGCTGAGTAGAGAATAACAGGAAGGCAGCCATGAGATAGATCCCTGGGCAGTGAGCCAGCAGGGCTGCCTCTTTAAAGCTGCTCTTGTGCTCTCTCTCCAGTAACACTAGGAGATACCTTAACCCGAAGGTCCATTAGCCAGCAGAAGTCTGGAGTTTCCATTACAATTGATGACCCAGTCCGGACTGCACAGGTGCCCTCCCCACCCAGGGGCAAGATCAGTAACATTGTCCATATCTCCAACTTGGTAAGTCATGGTTCCCATAGTGTCGGCTCCGTTTCTTTAGGGTTTACACTTTGGGTGGGAGCTAGAGAGAGATCTCAGCAGTTACAAGTGTAGTGCTCTCAAAGAGGGCTTGAGTTCAGTTCTCAGCATCCGCATGTGAATGCTGGGACTCAAGCCTGGGCCCTCTGGAAAAGAAGTAGTGTTCATGACCACTGAACCATCTCTCCAGCCCCGCTTGGGAAATCTCAATGCTAGATGTCTAGGTGTGCTACCCTTCTTTAAGACCCTGAAAGTTCATTTTCATTGGCAGGTTCGTCCCTTCACATTAGGCCAGCTGAAGGAGTTGCTGGGGCGGACAGGAACTTTGGTAGAGGAGGCCTTCTGGATTGACAAGATCAAATCTCATTGCTTTGTAACGGTGAGGCAGAGGACTGACTGACTGTGGCAGATGGGAGAGCATTGTAGGAGTGGAGATGACTAAAGGTACCTGTGCCTCTGCTTCTTCCTCACCAGTACTCAACAGTAGAGGAAGCCGTGGCCACCCGGACAGCTCTCCATGGGGTCAAGTGGCCCCAGTCCAACCCCAAATTCCTCTGTGCTGACTATGCTGAGCAAGACGAGGTGAGAAAGCTAAAGGAAAGGAGGGAATGGGTTCTGAGACGTCCCCCAAACTCAGTCACTAAGATTGTCCTCTCTTTGTACCCCTGGTACCTGGGCTGCTTCACTGGGGATGGGGTCATCCCTGTCGTGACTGTCCTTGTCCCTCTGCCCACAGCTGGACTATCACCGGGGACTCTTGGTTGATCGGCCTTCTGAAACGAAGACAGAGGATCAGGGAGCACCAAGGCCCCTGCACCCCCCACCTCCACCCCCAGTGCAGCCCCCACCCCACCCCCGGGCAGAGCAGCGCGAGCAGGAACGCGCTGTCCGGGAGCAGTGGGCAGAGCGGGAGCGAGAGATGGAACGGCGGGAGAGAACGCGCTCTGAGCGCGAGTGGGACCGGGACAAAGTTCGAGAGGGGCCCCGCTCCCGCTCACGGTCCCGTGACCGCCGCCGCAAAGAGCGTGCCAAGTCTAAAGAGAAGAAGAGTGAGAAGAAAGGTATGCCTAGCTGTGAGGAGGGAGGGAGGGACAGAAACCCAGATGGCTGGGTCGGAGGGTTTTAGGCATCTGATGGTGATTTCCTCCCACCACAGAAAAGGCTCAGGAGGAGCCTCCTGCTAAACTGCTGGATGACCTTTTCCGGAAGACTAAGGCAGCTCCCTGCATCTACTGGCTCCCACTGACCGAGAGCCAGGTGAGTACTGTCCTTTGTGGAGATGAGTAGGCCCAGCATTGGCCGAAGGATATTCTTGGAACTTGACTTACCAGCTAAGAAATGCATGTTTTACAGAGTCTTTATACAAGTCGTCTCTGCTTCTTAGTGTCTAGAATTGCTTTTTCATGAGAGTGTTAAAGCGTTTTCTTAGTGTAGCTGTTGGAAGGGGGTGGGGTGTGCTTGCCATGGTGCTCATGTGGGGGTCGGGGACAGTTCTGTGGAGCTGGTTCTCCTTCCACCCTTAATGGATTTCAGGGGTGAAAGGTGAGGCCTTTGCAGCAAGGGCTTTAATACGGTGAGCCATCTTGCTGGCCTCTTAAGTTTTGGGGATTAAAATTTGGGGGAATTTTGGGTTTAAATGCTACTCAGATTGGTTTGCATCTAGAGTGATGAAAGCTAGGCAAATCCCAAAGAGACTGCACGTGGATGGTGGCAGCAGCCCCCGTCGAGGATGGAAGGGCACAACTCATCCCCCATGCCTGCCTGCCCTTGTTTAACAGCAGCACTGACAGTGACCCTGAGCTAGGACTCAGGGTGTGGACTGATGTCCTTTCTCTCTCTGCCCTCCTGCCCGACTGCAGATTGTACAGAAGGAGGCGGAGCAGGCTGAACGGGCCAAGGAGCGGGAGAAGAGGAGAAAGGAGCGAGAGGAGGAAGAACAGAAGGAGCGGGAGAAGGAAGCTGAGCGGGAACGCAGCCGACAGCTGGAACGGGAGAAGCGGAGAGAGCATAGCAGGGACAGGGACAGGGACAGGGAGAGGGACAGGGGGGACCGAGACCGCGAGAGGGAAAGAGACCGAGACCGCGGCAGGGAGAGGGATCGCAGAGACACCAAGCGCCACAGCAGAAGCCGGAGTCGAAGCACACCTGTACGGGACCGGGGTGGGCGCCGCTAGCTAAGAAAACACTAGGAGAGCTGCAGGTACCTGCCACTCTGCCCTGGGAGGTTAAAGGCCACAGAGGGATAGGTACAATCACCACCGCCCTGGAACCAAGGGTCTCGCACACCATTGCTGAACTGTAACTGCCACCCATCCCCACATACCAAATGGAGCAGTGGCAATCGCCCTCCCCCAACCTAACTCTTGGAACTTAGCCCTCCTCCTTTCTTCCTGTTAAGTCTGAGAGGGAAGAGCTAGGTTATGGAGGGAAGGGTTTGGCCAGAAGTGGGAAGGAATAGCCAAGTGCCCCAGACCTCTCATTTCCCCTCCATCCTGCTTTCCACCTCCCTTGGGTACTCACACACAGCCTTCTGGGAACAGCCGGGGCCGGGACTGGGTCACCTATGAGCTGAATCAGCCTCTCCTCCTGAGTCTCAGGGCCCCTGCAGTTCCCAGCCTCTTCTGTCCTGCGGCCTCTTGCCCTCTGGTTCCACTTTATATCCACCTTTTCCTTTTGTTCAATTTTTATTTTTATTTTTTTTATTATTAAATGATGTGGTCTATGGAAAAAAATAAAAATCTGACTTAGTTTTAACTAGTATTTGAGTGTCTTTCTTTGGGAAAGGGTTTGGGTGAAAGGAGCAAGTTGAATGGCCATGAGCATTGTGGGCCTCTGCATTCTTCTGGAGCAGCCTCCTCCCTCAGGGATCCTCATCCCCACTTGGCTCTAATCAACCCAAAGCTAGATGTCTTTTTCACTCTGGGAAATAGTGTGTCCTGTTTTCCTTTGTAGGACCCTAGCAGCTGGCAGGGTCTGCTTCCCAGCCCCTTGCACAATTAGGCATTTGGTCACCCACAAGATTCATCCCACAACTGCCGCCAGGGGGCGCAAGCACTCTAGAATAGATCCTTGCAAAGAGCTTCCCTAAAAGATTCGCTCCCCACCGATGTCGTGCCCCTGTCTCTGGCGAGCTCCCTAGACCGCCGCTTCCCCTGCCGTCCTTAAGCTCACCCTAGCCGACTCAACTCGCCGTTGTGGTCAGTACAAGACCCCGAGGCAGCAGCCTCGCAGCCGTACCCCAACCCAAAGCGCGAAGCCGGGTCCCGCAGTGCTCTCTCCCGGGGCCCCCCCTCACGGTGTGTCTCCGCAGGTGCCGGGCTGGCCGTTCGCGCCTGGGGCCTGTGGGGCCCTCCCTCCGCCAGACCCTCGGAGCAGCCCGGCCGTCCTGCCCGTGTGTCCGGCCGCGCTGCGGGCCGGCCCGGGAGGGGCCTCGCATCTGTATGCGCCCCGCAGCCCGGGAGCCGCGGGGGCGGGGACTGGCCGGGGAGGGTCGGAGGCAGGGCTCTCCTCTCCCGCGCGAGCCGCCTCTCCTCCGCAGGCGGAGCCTCCTTCCTCCGCCCCCTCCGTCTCGCTCCCTTGTTCTCGCCGGGGCCGCTCAGACCTGCAGCGGAGCCGCGGCGCCGGCTTGGATCCGCTGGGGGCTGCGCCCCGGGCAGCCGACGACGGAGGCGGGCGGGGCGCTACTCGCAGTCCCGAGCCCCTTGGCAGTGCCAGGTAAGGGCGCCTGCCCGGGTCGGGAATCCTCGCGGGGGCAGCGGGGGGCCCGCAGCTTGCGGTGCGCTCTGGCTGCGAGCCGTAGCGGCTCGCTCGGTTCTCCCGCGCTCTGCTCTCTCCCTTCCTACACACCTCTCCCTTTTGCCTCTCCTGATTTCTCTTGACCCTTCCGCCTCTCTGCCCCTGCTCTCTGCCTCTTGTCCTGTCTCTTCCCATCTCTTCTGCCTTTTTCTTCTTCTGCCTTCCTCCCCTTTCCCCTTTCCCGCTCTCCTTCCCTCTCCCACTGCCTTGCTCTCCGCTCCGCTCCGCTCCTCTCCTCCTCCTGCTATCCTGCTGCCCGCTCCTGTTTCCTTCCTTCTCTCCTCTTCGTCCCGCCTGGTCCCCTGCTGCCCTCTGGCTTCTTTTCTCTTGGGAGCAAACGGCCTGTCAGGTGTGTACGTCTGCTCTGGGGGAGGAGGAGGGGCGCAGCTACCTGACCATGGGCCCCTTCAGGAGAAGGGAGAGAAAGGGGAAGGGTCCTCTCTCTAGCTCCTTTCCCGCAGCCCCTCCCTACCTCTACTGCTCCTGGTAGCTTACTCTACCAGAATGAAGTTCCCGAGGCCTGATCTCACACACACACACACACACACACACACACACACACACACACACACACACACGCAGCCTGGCCGCTCCTCTGCCCCTACCAGTTCCCATGCCTAGTACCTAGGACTCCTTTTCTACCTTCCAGACACCCAGGCTGCCTCCCTGATGTCTTTGCTTCTCTCTTGCCGTCTCTCTCTCTCTCTGTGATCTCTCTTTCTCATCTGCTCTCCCTGTCTGCCAGACCATTCCTGATTCTCGATCCAGAGCCCTCAACCGCTGTCTCTGGCCCCTGGATCAGCCTCCACTTCAGCTCCCCTAAGTCTCCTTGCACTGCCTGCAACCCCGCTCCCAATTCTTCCAGCTCACTCTGCTCCGTCTGACCAATTCCCCTTAAACACTGCAGCTAGTGGGCTGGGGACAATCTGGATAGGTGGGGTTCGGGGGGGGGGGGGTCTAAGTCCCAGCCTGACCCTGTGGGTAAGGACAGCTACGAGTCAGTGAATCCAACCTCTTGATTTTTTAGCCCTCTGTCAGCCCACCTACCTTCCCTAGCACCCTCCTAGTTCTGTGCCCAAGGTAGAAGGACAGGACAGGATTTGAAATTCCAAGTCCCTTCAGCATCCGTCCCCTTTGCTTCTTCCTCCCCAGCTTTCCAGAGTTGACTGCCCTGAGATTTATGGGCTTGGAGGGCTGGAGGTGAATCCAGGCAGAGCTGGGTGGAAGGATCACTGTCTGTCTCGGACTGGGTTCTGGGCAGCGGGTGTCTGCTTTCTTAGAGACCTAGGCTTCAGTATCTAATTTGGGAGGGGAGTAGGATTTAGACTTTCCTTGATCCTGAGCCGCTTGCTACCTGTCCTACAGGTGTGGATCCATGGGGTAGCCTCAACGCATCTTCCCCGACCAGCTCATGGGCCACCTGGCCCTGCCCGGCCTCAGCACCTGGGGCCAGTGAACAAGAGCCCTGGCTGGATTACAAGCATGTGGGGCCTTGTGCGGCTCCTGTTGGCCTGGCTGGGTGGCTGGGGCTGCATGGGGCGCCTGGCAGCTCCAGTCCCAGCCTGGGCAGGGTCCCGGGGACACTCAGGTCCTACCCTGCTGCGGACCCGAAGGAGCTGGGTCTGGAACCAGTTCTTTGTCATTGAGGAATATTCTGGTCCAGAGCCCGTCCTTATTGGCAAGGTAAGGATCAGCCCTTCCCATGTCTTCTCCGTCTGGTCTGTCGGGCCCTTAGACCCTACCCCGTAACTCCCATCACTCTGCAATGACCTTGGTCCCCTGGCATTCCTAACACTCAACCCAAGCCTAGTCTCTAACCCGTGGCCCTGCGCTCGGAGCCTCCTGCCATCTCCTCCGACTCTTACAGCTGCACTCAGATGTTGACCGGGGTGAGGGCCGCACCAAGTACCTGCTGACCGGGGAGGGGGCAGGCACTGTGTTTGTGATTGATGAGGCCACGGGCAATATCCACGTGACCAAGAGCCTGGACCGGGAGGAGAAAGCACAGTACGTGCTGCTGGCCCAAGCGGTGGACCGAGCCTCTAACCGGCCCCTGGAGCCCCCGTCAGAGTTCATCATCAAAGTGCAAGACATCAATGACAATCCGCCTGTGTTTCCCCTCGGGCCCTACCATGCCACCGTGCCCGAGATGTCTAACGTGGGTGAGCACCCCAGCTCTGGACGCCCTAGCTTCCCCGGAGCTCTTTCCCCCTTCCTGCCCCTTCTGTTGTCTACCCTAGAACTACCCCTTTAACTCAGCCTTCTTCACATCTGGGGTCCCTCAATCTACTCTTCTCTTCTGGCCTTGCCGCCGCTGAACGGGATACGGGAATCTCCCGCAGGGACGTCTGTAATCCAAGTGACTGCTCATGACGCTGATGACCCCAGCTATGGGAACAGCGCCAAACTGGTATACACTGTGCTGGATGGGCTGCCTTTCTTCTCTGTGGACCCCCAGACGGGTGAGAATGGAGCCAGGAACCTCGTGGGGCCGCCGTGGGGACAAACACCCCTGACCCAGTGTCTCTCTCTCTCTCCCTTAGGAGTGGTTCGTACAGCCATCCCCAACATGGACCGGGAGACCCAAGAGGAGTTCTTGGTGGTGATCCAGGCCAAGGATATGGGTGGCCACATGGGGGGGCTGTCAGGCAGTACTACAGTCACCGTCACCCTCAGTGATGTCAACGACAATCCCCCCAAGTTCCCTCAGAGTAAGGGGGCGGTCTGTGCCCATACAGTCCTTTGATTGCCCTTCCCCACAGCTTCTAGAGAAGCCGTCCCTCCTCAGTCCCACCCCAGCCCGACCCTGGGAAAAGGAAGTGCTGGTGGGGGGAGGGCAGGAGGGCTGGAGACACATCTAAGAACACATCTCCCCTGCTTATTCCCTAAGGTCTGTACCAGTTCTCTGTGGTGGAGACAGCTGGACCGGGAACCCTGGTGGGCCGGCTCAAGGCCCAGGACCCCGACCTAGGGGACAATGCCCTAATGGCGTACAGCATCCTGGATGGGGAAGGATCAGAGGCCTTCAGCATCAGCACCGACTCCCAGGGTCAGGACGGGCTCCTTACTGTCCGGAAGGTTAGCCTTCCGTCCGTTAACACCCGCAGACTCAGCTGGGGGCGGAAAGCTCAGTGGTAGGAGCTTGGCCTAACATGCCCAAAGGCTGAGATTTCATCCCTAACACCGAGAAAAAAACCGACAGCAATTGAGTTCCTGCACCAGAGGCTCCCTTATACCTCACCCCTACCCCACTCCCTGGCCATACTTTCAACTAGTTTCCTAGAACCGTACTTAGGACCCCTGTGTTAGAACTTGGAGGTCATAGTGATCCTCGAACCTTTTAGATGAGGTTCGGAAAGCTAGAAGGGGGAGTGAGCGTCTCAAGGTTACTTAAGTCTCCAGTGGAGCTGAGCGCAGCTCTGCAGGGGTCACCCACCGTGACCACTGAGGCCACACCTCTCCAGTGTCCCCCCTCCTCGGCACTAGGGGCACATGGCGAAGAGACTTTGCACCTGTGAGCTGGGCCCACCCATTTCCAATCCATCGCTCTCTGTCTGCCCTCATCATAGCCCCTGGACTTCGAGACCCGCCGCTCTTACACCTTCCGGGTAGAAGCTACCAACACACTCATCGACCCCGCCTACCTGCGGCGAGGTCCCTTCAAGGACGTGGCCTCCGTGCGAGTGGCGGTGCAGGATGCCCCAGAGCCACCTGCCTTCACCCAGGCCACCTACCACCTGATAGTACCTGAAAACAAGGCTCCCGGGACCCTGGTGGGCCAGATCTCAGCCAGTGACCTGGACTCCCCGGCCAGCCCAATCAGGTTAGCTGGACTGTGAGCTGGGGAGGGACAAGGCTTTCTTAAAGGATCGCAGAGGCTGGCTATGCACAGGATGTGCCATCTTTGGGGCACATCATATCCCGTGGCCAAGGTCTCACTTCCCATGCTAGAGGAACCC